AGAAAGATGGGTTTTAGTAAATGTATGTTGATTATCGGGCTTTGAATGAAGTGATTGTGAAAGACTCTTTCCCGATGCCTATTGTTGATGAATTCCTTGATGAATTAAGGGGTTCAGTCTACTTTTCTAAATTAGACCTCAGAGCAAGATATCACTAGGTTTGAATGCATCCTACAGATTGAGAAAAGACTACTTTTAGAACACATCAAGGGCTGTACGAGTAGCTAGTTATGCCTTTTAGTTTGACAAATGCACTAGCGACCTTTCAAGCTCTTATGAATTCTATTTTCAAGCCATTTCTACATAAATTCATTCTAATTTTCTTTAATGATATACTTATTTACAGTAAATCTTGGGCACAACATTTAGAGCATATGGATTAGGTCCTTGAACGGATGTTTGCATATCAACTATTTGCCAAATGCTCTAAATGCTCTTTCAGATGCACACATGTTGACTACCTTGGTCATGTTGTTTCAGCTTCTAGTGTGTCAATAGATCATGCTAAGATTCAAGCCGTGCAAAAATGGCTAGTTCCTCATAATGTGTCATAGTTAAGAGGGTTCCTCGGTTTGACAAGATATTACCGTCGCTTCATTCATAACTATGCCCAAATTCCAAGTCCTTTAACACACCTTTTACAAAAAGATAGATTCATCTGGTCAAATGACGCAGATAGAACTTTTGCTGTGTTAAAACAAGCTCTCACTTCTACCCCTGTATTGGCATTGCATGATTTATAGTGGAAACTAATGTAGCAGATTGTGTGATTAAGGCAGTCTCAGTCAAAATGGCCATCCTATTACATTCTTTTCCAAGCAATTATCTCTTAAAATGCAGGGACAATCTGCCTATGTACGAGAACTTTTTTCTATTACACAAGCAATGTCAAAGTTTAGGCATTATCTTTTTGGGCATACTTTCATCGTCTGGACGAATCAAGAAAGCCTCAAGCATCTAGACAAGTAAGTCTTATAAACTTTGAAACAGGAACTCTACCTCCCTAAGCTATTGGGGTATTAGTTCTCAATTGAATATAAGCCAGGCAGAATGAATTTGACTATAAATGCATTATCTCGAACAACTCATATGGCATTGTGTTAGATACAGTCAACATTATTTGAAGATATCATTGAGGTTATACGACAATCTACATGCTTGCAACGTATTTGTGCCCAAGTCAAGGATGACCCTGTTTTGGGGGCAAAATACAGAGTACAAGATGGTGTTCTGTATTATCAGGACAGGGTGTAGTACCACATGAAAATAAAGATTTGCTTTCCAAGATTCTTTTACAAATTCCATTATTCTATGGTTGGGGGCCATGTTAGATCATTGAAAACCTTTCAACTTGTAGCTACCAATCTTTATTAGCCTAACATGAGGCGTGATATTTGGTCATTTATTAGAGAATGCTTGACGTGTAAGCGTGCTATGGTAGCCCAAACTTCTCCTACTAGACTTTTATGTCTACTTCTAATCCTGGATCAAATTTGGGATTCAATTGTGATGGATTTTATCATTACATTGCCTCTTATTTGCCATTACTCGATCATTATGGTAATTATTGACAGACTAGCCAAGTACGCTCACTTGGTTCCTCTCTGAGCAAATTATACTAGTCATATTATAGTAGAAGCTTTCCTTCATAATATGGTTAGGCTTCACAGCATGCCTCAATCTATAGTTTTTGACAGAGACAAAGTCTTCACCAGTACTTTTTGGCATTCTTTATGTTCATTGTAGGGCATCCAACTTCATATGAGTTCTTGTTATTATCCAGAGATGAATGGACAATCAGAGGCTCTTAATCGTTATGTTGAGAGGTATTTGTGGTGTTGTTCATGCATAACTACGCTGCTGACTTGATTATCTACCTTGGGCTGAGTATAGTTACAACACTTCTTTTTACTCATCAACGGGCATGACACCATTCTAAGTGGTTTACAGTCACGATTTTCCCCTGTTGATTAAAGGCTATTCATTAACTGATACAGATATTGATATTCATATGCAACTCTAAGAGTATGATCGCGTGCTCACTCAACTCAAACAATAGCTTTTACGATCAGGCCTGAATGAAGTACTATGTTGATCGTCGCCGTCGTCCAAATGAATTTAATGAGGGCGACCTTGTTTTGGTCAAGTTGCAACCATATCAACAGTCTTCTGTCCAGCTTTAACACTATCAAAAACTAAGGTTCAAGTTCTTCTGCCTTTTTTGCGTTCTTCAATATGTAAGCAAAGTTGCCTATCGTTTGGACTTACTTGCCCAAGCCTGTATCTACTCAATGTTTCATATCTCTCAACTTAAACAGTTTCATGGTACAGCTGACGAGACTTATATATTGTTACCATTACTGATGGCTTAAGAAGGACCAGTGGTTCATCCTCTTGAGGTTCTTGATCAACAATGCGTTCAACATGGATCTAGCTGGGTTACCCAGGTTCTCATTCATTGGGAAGGGGCCGATAATGTTTCTTAGGAAGATGTGTCTCAGTTAGCAGTTGACTACCCTACCTTTAATGTTGGGGACAAGGTCAGTCTCGCAGATAAGGGTATTGACACGATGGAACAACAACTACAGCTACCTCAGCAACCTACTCAATAGAACAGTCAGCATGGGAGCGAGAATGTGGGCTTCAATATGCATGGCAAGAGTGATGTGCATGGCAAGGGTCCTACTGTGCTACACAGAAGCAATCGTGCGAGAAAGGTCACGTGAAAGTTACAAGAGGCTGGAGTGCTTCGTGTATGAGAGGGTTGTTATGTAAAAAGGCCCACGGGGTGTGAGGCGGTGTGGATTTGTTTTGTATGAACTTTATCTCTGTTGTCTCTTTCCCCTTTGAACTTTCTTTCTCTGAGTCTCTTTTCCTATAATGCTTTTATGATGTTTATGCTCTGTTTTTGCTGTTGCTTGAATATAATAATATGTGAGTTACTCTTTTCACTTTGAGTACGTGACAGTGTGGTAGGGACTTTGGCTTGAGAAGTAACCATTGTCAATGAAACATTTCTGAATCTGGCCATTGAGACTGAGAAGATGAGAAAGGAATGAAAGCAGAGCAAGAGATGTGATAGACGTTAAAATCATTGCAATGAATCGTGAATTTGAGACAAATGAGATTAAGATTTAATTTTGGGCTGTTATTGGTAAGTGACGTTGCAAAGTCAATTAGTATTTAGTACTTCAATAGTAATCTTCTGCATGTGGAGTCAATGGGTCAGCGAAAATATAGGACAAATGGAAACGCTTATTATTATTATTATTATTGTCGAAAAACGCGTATCCAATAGTCTATTCTTTTTATTTTTTAAGCTTTTAAAGAGAGGTTGATTTATTGGTTCACGTTTGTTAAATGAATTGTGATAAATCAAGAGCTAGTTATATTTAATTATTTAAATTTTAATATGAAAAATTATAGAAATATAATAGTTAAAATCAATAAGTAATAAGCAATTTTTGAAAGCATATTTAAATTAAATTAAAAAGACAAATAAATCATAGGAAGAGCAAATATAAAAAAATAGTTTTTAAAACATAAGTTAAAATAAATCAACAAATTGTATAAAAAAGATAATAAATCAAAAAATATCAGAGATAAATAATACAAGCAAGAGCAAGGCAAGTCGCTGGAGCATGAAGTACCACATCGTGAAGTTCAAGGGAGTGAAGGGCGAGACTTCTATGTAGAAAGGACGTGGGTTGTAACTTTCGGTGACATGACTGAGCCAGAGCGCTGGGCTTTGAAAAATTGAAGCGTTTTGTCCACAGTGGGCTATGTTTGATGATCACATTCTGGTAGGCCTCGCACCGGAACAAGGTATTCGGCTGTTCATAATCATTTACAAATCATAAATACACAAAATATTAAGATTCTTATCAGATCATAAAAGAAGAAAGGGAAGTGGAAGAAAAAAATTAAAGAAAATAAACTTTAAATATCTCCAAAGCTTCAATATGTTGATCTCAACTCTTTCATAATATCCAAACTCTAATATAATCAAGCTTCCAATATATCTTAAAGTCTAAGAAATGCATTCTAAGTCAAGCCAACAACATATATACATCAAGCTAAGCCCTAACATTTTCAACTACAAAAATGCAATGTTTTGTTGTTAACGGAACTTTAATCATGATTTTGCTCTATTTTGTACACTTCTCTCAATTAGTGTGACTAATCATCTTTTCACTTAATTTCTTCATCTAAAAACCTTCCAAAAGTGTTATCTTTCCACTTAAATCTTAAATTAAAATATCAATAAATTAACTTGAAAAATACCAAAATAGAGCCATAGTTTGAATTTCCAAAACAATACTCTTTTGATCCTATTTATAAGTTACTTCTAACATATTTCACTAGAACCAAGAAAAACTTTAAAACTCATTAATTATGTCTTAAAATTTAATAAGTTCTCAAATTTTCTCCTATTAAATACACATAATTTGACAATATATTTTTTTCTTTCTAATATTCAAAAGAGGATAGAAGGAAAATTAGTGTTGAAAATTTAATAAGATGACTTATAAATAGGACTAAAAAATTTTTTTTCTCTTTGCCTTATAAATAGGATTAAAAGGAGTATGCACAATTTCTTAACTTGAGTATTTAAAATATATACAATTGTGTTAAGATATATTAAAATCAAAGGAGAATGTACCCAAATGGCATGAAATTCTAGAGCTTAACATCTATTTCTATTTAAAGTCATCAAATATGAAATGTTTTAATTGGTCAAAGCATAGATGACATGGTGGACCGGGATCATACAAAAAATTTTCATTAAAGAGTAATAAAAGGCCCAATCAGCAAAGACCCAATAATGACAACGACAATTCTTGATGTTCTGTTGCTATTTCTTGCAAAGACAAAACAAAATCGTTGATGTTTAATTTTACAATTATTATATGTTAAAAAAGTATCAAACCATGTTATACGTGCGTACTAATTAGGCTGGAATTAATTTGTACCTTCTAATTAAGGAACTACTCCTTCAGTTGTCTCAAGATTCTGCTTTTCTAGCAACTCCTTAAACAACGGTACAACCTTAAACTTAGAACAATCATAATTCTCTGTTCTTCGTTTCTTATTCTCAATATCATATTTGATATCCCATACATAATTCTGAGTACACTTCTCTCTATGAGAAGCTCATAATTCCAAGTACACGACTTAAACACGGACATTTCACACGTCACACATAACGTTAATAAGAGAAATACACAACTCTGAAAGCCTTTAAATTCATAATATATTTCGATCGAAGCTTACTAACTATCAAAGAAGGCGTAATGTTCATATCTAAGAAAGCAGCTGAGTTTGATAATCCTACCACCAGCCTTGTTCCCCGAACAATTTGGGATTTCCGACACAGCCTTGGACAAGCAGTCTTTGCAATCTAGCCTGGACAAATCTGGCGTGCACTGAACAAGACCATAGATAGTTCCAGATCCAGTTCTCATGTTCCCTGCTGCATACTTACGTTCAGAGTCACCAGCTACAGCATTGCTTCTTAGACTTACCAAAAGATCATCAAGCGAACCATTGTACACGTCAGCATCAGTTTCATTATTTGGATTCGCCATGCAGAAGGAAAAGTCAGGGTTCTCGTATATCCCAAGCATTGAACGACTCGAGTATCGTAAAATGCAAAGTTCATCGTATAAAACTGCCTTCTTCTGATTTGGACATAGGTTTGGGAGAATCTTCGCGGCATTGTTGAGGCAAGTACGGCATGAATCTGGATTCACATCTCCTCTGCAATGCCCTAGGGCATAAACTCTGTTGGGGTATTCGCCATAAAAGGCACTGTAGAAGCCATAATCGATATCTGTGTCTGAAGTGAGATTAGAAAGAAGGAAATTGAGGTTCGTTCGGTAGATAGCTGTATTTGAGAAGTAACCATTGTCAATGAAACATTTGTGAATCTCCGCGTTGAGAATGAGAATATGAGAAAGGAATGAAAGAAGAGCCAAAGAAATGATAGACGACGTCGTTGTCATCATATTGAAGTGAAGTGAGAGAGATGAAATTAAAGAAGGATTAAGCTTAGTGTGGAATTTGGGGTCCAACAGATTTCTCAACGTATTTATAGTCCACATGTTAACAGTACGAGTCTTGCATATGGTCAGCCGGTCAACTCATTAATCATAACCCAATAACTCTACCTTGCACATTTAGTTTCGTTGATTTGTCGTAGCATCGCACTGCTGTTCGTCAAGATGTAGAAATCCGAATGCTCACTACGCCTGCGTGGTATTGGAGCCTTTGACGTCATTCCTGATGCAGAACGCATAATACATTATGCACTTGAGTTGTGGAAATCACAATTTTCTCTGGATATCCTCTAGAATTCTGGATGGTGATTTCGTTGCGAAGCATGATAAAAATGTTTAGATATTTATATTTATTTTATTGACAAGGACGACATATGGATATATGTTTTCACTAACAAGTATTAGGACGTATAAGTGTGAATGAACATAAGTTAATATGCCGCATAATGTTAGACTTAATAACTAATATATTATAAAATGAAAAAACTCATAAAATTAATCTTTAAAATTTTGAATTAAGATGTGATATCCTCCATTCCCTTTATTTATTTTTTTCTCACTTGTTTTTAAGCTATGTGATGTCTTTGATGTGGAGAGCTAGGGTATTTAAGCTTATCCAGTTCCAATCACTCCATTCCGATCATATCATAATGGATCTATCCCAACTTGATAAAAAAAGGATGGGACTTTGTGAAACAGGACAAAAAATGATTTGAGACGGGACGGGATGTCTTGAAGGTGGTCCCATGTCCCATCCTGTCCCAAATATAATATAAATATTATTTTTTATTAATGTGTAATAGTTTATTTATTTGGTGTATGTATTTTTATTAATATGTGATAGCTTCAAATATCTCAACTTAAAAGGAAGAATTGATGACTTGATATTGTTCTAGGCTAGTTTATTTAAGTTGCGTAACTCAATTATCTTGTTCTTATTGTAACTACAGTCTAGATGTTATTTTTAATTGTAGTGTATTTGATTTTAACTCAATAATTGAATTTATGTTTTTGTGACATTTTGGTTTAAGATTTAACGAGTTATATAATTTAATCAATGTTTTTATTTAGGCCTCTCTTTCACATTTTATCTATTTTATTTAGGCATCTTGGTCCCATTCTGATCATATCTCAATCCCAAATGAAATGAGACAACTTTTGGAGCAGGATGGGACAAAGCAAAAATTCAATCTCATTCATTTTTTCAGACGGAGATCTTGTCCTTTGAACACTCCTATGGAGAGTTTATGGATTCCTACCCAAGAAAAAGATTGTTAGAATCTTTATTAAGTGTGATTGAAATTAAAAAATAAAATTGAGGATTTTGTTGCACAACAAGTGTGCACTTCGTGTAATCCTCGCTCACAAGCTTTTACATTTAAGCTTTTTTATTGGGATATTGTCTGCACAATCTTTTGTTTGCATAACATAAATTGTTAAAAAAATTCTTAATTATTATGAAGTGTTGATAAGTAAGAAATTATTACGAAGTTATGATTTTTCGTTGCCACTTGAGGTTAGCTCTAGCACGAAAGTGAGGTGGGGAAAAGGATAAGTACAAGACTTCACGAGCGCAATGCAACCTGCTGGCAATGCGTTACATAATTCTCAATACGCAATATTTTCCTGTCCGTTAAAAATGATCTTATAAAACTATGTCTGAAATATGTGTTCTTATTTGAATCCAACATATATAAATAAATTGAAAGAAGTAATTAAAAGTACAATCACAATTAATCTAAGGACCCTAATTGTCAAATCAGAATTAAGTCATCAACACTTTTATTGAGAAGATATTAATGAGCCTTGCCGCAGTAGATCTTATTTTCTTTTCTTTTTTTCTTTTGTTGTTAGAAACCAAATAATATTACGTACTAAAGTATCATAATAAAGGCACCAATCAGCAAAGCCACAATAACAACAATTCTTGATATGTTTCTGTTGCTATTTCCTGAAAAGAAAAATACAAAAGTTTAGTTTTACAATTGTATGTGAAAAAAACGTATCGAACAATACCACTTTGGGAAATTGTACCTTCTAAGGAAGATGACGCTTTTGGTGAATCAGCAACTCCTGTGATACAACATCAAAAATTTATCTATTATTAATAACTAATAATTAATCAGCAATGTCATAAATTAGTCTTCAAGTTTCTAATTAATGGAATTCTGATTATCCTTTAATTGGGCATCCTGAGAAAGCCAAGCATGCACGCTCTGAGAGCTGCTAAAATTAATGTACTTAATGTAGTCTACATGTAAAATTTCTCTTAAATAATTTTGTTTACGAAGAAACATATCAAACCATATTACTTGGATAAGATTTGGTAGCTTCTAAGAAAGATGAAGCTTTTGGTGAATTCGCAACTCCTGTGGTTCATGGAAAATTTATCTATTCTTGACAATCAATACACTTTGTCATAGGGATGATTTAAAGTTGAGTTATTTATAGGAGGGGAAATTATTAGGGACTTCTAAAATATTACCTCTCGATCTGTCACTACTTAATGTTTCAGTAACACTACAGTATTTGTGCGCGTCATTTTTTTTAAGGTGTAACCATTTTTTTTAAAAAAAATATTCTTATTGAATAATAAATTTATATTTATTTAAGAATAAAACACCATATTATATAAGGGTAAATATGAAAAGATAATTTTAGTTTGAAGACAAGTAACTACTTCATTAAGGAGTAAAATTCAATTAAAAATGTTTTATATTTTTTAATAAAAAAAGTGTGTGTGTGTGCGCACCTTTTGTTAATGAGAAAGGGTTGAGAGAAATTTAAAGGAAGAATCATGTTAAAATTTCAAATAAAAAATTAATTATTATAAAATTTATTATTATTGAATTAAGGTCATTGACAGTTGTTAATGGACACTCAGTCAAAATAAAAATTAGGCAATAGAGTTTTTATTTTTCGTTTAAGTTAAGTAAAATAAATTGGAATCCATTTTAGAAAATAAAATTAAATTGATTAAAATGCACTAAAGTTTCTATTTTTCATCCACCCGAGGTTGGCTCTAGCAGAAAAGTGAGGCGGGGAACGAATAATATCAAACTTCATGAGCGCAATCTACCTGTTGGCAATGCATTAGATCATAGTTCTAAAACGCGTGAAACTTCCAACTTTTTCCAACCTTGCAACTACGTACAGTTCTTTTCTTTGACCCAAAATATATTGAAAAGGACGTCATGAATACTCTATACTCGTCACGTGTAACTTGGGTGCGTTTGGGTATGACTACTTTTACATTTCAAATGTGATTTTTAGCTTTTGAAATGTGGAATGTTGTTTGAGATATTTTTTTTAGATGGGATGTGCTTTGCAAAATGACTTCCAAATGAGTCTGAAACGAGAAAAATCAAAAGCTCCTCAATGTAGCTTTTGAAACGTGATCTGTGGCAGGACTGATGTCTAATATTTTAATTCACCATGATACCCTCATATTTTTTATTTCTTCTCGCGCAATCAAGGCTGATTTTCTTTTGTCATTTTGCTGCTCCTCTCATCTCGTTCCTCCGTCGCTCGTCCATCGCTAGTCCGTCGGCCGGCCATCTTTTCTCCAACTCTTCCTTCCTTCCTTCCTTCTCAAGCTCGCTTCTATACCTTGATGCATGCCACTATGGAAGTTTATGTCATTACTGATATCGTCGTCACAGTAGCCAAGGTCTCGTCGGCGGATGACGGCATTGTCTTCGTTGAGGATGACATTTTTGCGTGGTTATTGATAGGCCACAATAGGTCTAGTGTTGAGTTGCTAAATCTGTTGGAGGACGTGAAAGATACGATGGTGGAACCGGCGAGTAAAATGGGCGGAGTGAGGTTCATCGATGACTCGTATTCTTCGCTTTTAGTTTCAGTCCTCCTCCTCGTACATCACCATAAACAACAATGAGGAGAGTTGAAGGTCGTCGTTCTCCAATTCGGGCACGTCTGTGATGGCCAGCATCGACACCAACGAGTTGAGAAGGAAGCTTGTGGGTTCAGTGGAAGTCAGCTGGGTAGGGAGAGAAGCGAATGAACTGACTTTTGAAATAATTTTTATTCGTCTCTTTTCCAGTTCATGCATGCGAAATATTAAATAATTTTTTTATTTTTAATATTTAACATTTTAAATTTTATGTCATTTTAAATTTATTTCACATTTTTTAAATATTTTTAATATATTAGATTTGTATAATAAAAATTATAAATTATCATAAATTAATGTCCTTTTTGGTCATTGCATATTAAAAAGTACATTTCAAAAGCACAAATTTTATTAATCCAAACAACTTTCAGTTTGCCAAACTGACTTTTGAAAAAATTTATCCAAACACAAATTTCATTGCAATAACTGACTTTTACCAAACTGACTTTTACCAAATGAACTTTCATCAAACTGACTTTTGATAAATTGAAAACCAAACATACACTTAATCTTCAAGCCAAATAAGACCACTTACGTCCGGCGGCAAACAGTGTTTTCCAATAGAAGAGCGAAAGACATATTGAGAAATATTACTTTACAAGAAAATGGTAATTTGCTCATAAAATTTATTCAAAAAAATATTAGGGAGTAGTTATCTCATAATTTTTTTTTGAGAAATGCTATTCTAATAAATAAAATCTTTAAATTTTTTTACGAACATCTAAATAAAAAGAAATTCTTAAAAAAATGAGAAGAGAAAAAACCTATTTCATAGCCGGAAAATTTTCTCTCAATAAAATTCATAAAAAATGTTTGACAGAAACAAAAAATAGGTAACAAAATAAAATAAGAACTCTTCGAGAGAAAATTTTTCTCAATACAATCCAAAAAAACTTTAATGAGTTTTCACAGATAATATGAAGAGAAATGTTCTCTTGAAAAAGTTCAAGAGAACTTTCCCTCACATTAAGTCAAGAAAAATATTTTTTGAGAAAAGTATTTCTCAAAATATTTAATTTTTTTTGGAATAATATGAGAAAATTTTTAAATCTTTTCTTAGATCTTTTTGAGAGAAA